AGTTCTACTGTGCATAAGAACATGGTTAATGTCCCCCCTCTGGGAATGGCTTAAAGACCCTTCAGTCAGTAGCACCGCCCCGTTGGAGGGGGTGTGGGGTAGGGGGTGGGAAGACAGTTGTCACCTTGAAAGTCTCAAGCCTGTTGAACGCAGAGAGAAAATAAGAAGAGTTGGAATGATCACACTAAAAAGATAATACTGTAATCATAATGTGTCATCACGAGGTGGAATCAGGCGCTCGTCAGTTTTTGTTGTTTTGTGTGTGTGTTTTGTTTGTTGTTGTTTGGTTTGTTTGTTTGTTGATGGGGGGTTTTGGGGGGGGGGTTGTTGTTGTTTTTTGGGGGGGGATCATGTGGAGTTATTGGAATCATCTTAAAACTTATTCATTTGTCTTGCATTTGTCAAAATAACACAACCATATATTTTGGATAGAAGTCGAGATATTTGTGATAAAAGTTACAGGAGGTGGGGGTCGCCTGGTGTCGGAGGTAAAATTAGCGAGATAATGCCCGCCAAAGTTTGGTGAATTCTAAAGCTTGGGTTTCCTTGGAAACTGGATAGTTACATTTCGTGTGCCTTTGATCAACGACTTTCTGGAAAATTCTCACTGAATTGTGTTTTTAAATGGCCAAACTGGCCTGATTCTTTAATTTCAATATTATGACGAGCGCCTGATTTCACCACTATAGCTCACATATCTCTTCTAGGGATCTGCTCACTTTTCCAATGTTAGACAATCCATTTTTTTACCCGGGGGGGGGGGGGATAGGTGTAAAATTGGTCGCTCTTTCAGTCTTACAAAATCTATTGTTTGGTGAACAATGAAGATACAAATCACTCGCCATTCCAATGTTACAAAGTGCTATGTTTGGTGAACAATAGAGATAATATCACTCGCCAGTCCTGTGTGTAAAAAATTCAATGTTTGGTGAAGAATAGAGATAAAATCACGACACGCTATTCCAGCGTCCTCCCGTAACTGAAAAAGTTCGACTCTATCTGTAAGCCTGAGGTTCCACTCGCTGCTTGCCCACGGACGTTTAGCGTTTTACTCAATTAGGTTGATTGTTTTTTAAAATCTGATATTTCTGGAACACGTACTTGTAGACTTGTTTCGTATTGTTGTTGACAAATCAGACGCAACTTAGAATGCTTCATTTATTGTTCAAAGTTTTCTAAGAATTGGTGCTAAGATGATCGAGTGATCGCCTTGGTGAAAATGGTTAAATGGTGTAGGTTTAACGTCCTTATCAACTCTAGTGGAACCTCCATCTCCAAAAGGACTAAGCCAGAAAGGAAATTCGTGTAAAGTGCCTTCAAAAAGGACAAAACGTCGGACCGAGCTGATACTCGAACCCTCGAACCCGCAATCTTACGATTATGGATCCGATAGCCTAACCACTATGCCATTGACACCACACTTTACTCAAACAAACAAACAAACAAACAAACAAACAAACAAACAAACAAACAAGTAGAAAAGAAAGGATAATATTATTGTTGGAGACAAGCCTCGAGGGATAGTGTGTGTGTGGGGGGGGGGGGGGGGCAGAGGAGCCTATCCCATCGAAGTATTTGGAGCCCCGAAGAGCGTGCTCTTCGCCAGGGCCACCGCCTCTCTTGGGTAGCGGGTGAGGCAGTCCAACCTCCCTGAATCCTCACCAAAAAGAGCCACCGCTGGACCTTCATTGTGGGGCATCTCTGCAGCCAGTGCTCCAAATCGTGGGGCCATTCCCTGCAAAATGGACAGATTGGGTCCGATGTTTGTTTAAATTTTCTCCTTTCACCTCCTTTCCTGCTCTCTAGCAATGTTCTGTCGTCTGCTTTCGTCTCCTTTTTCTGCCCCACCCCCTCACCTCCTTTGCCCCTTCCTCCGGGCTCCTGGCTCTTTCTGCAGCCTGTCTACTGCTACTCCTTGGCTCCTTCTTACTGCTGTCTTTCAGCCACACCCCTGATCTTCTGGTAGGAAAGATCTACACTTAGCCCTCTCGGACAAGGGCGAAAAATCTCATAGGGCTCGTGTGCAAGTTGCCCTCGTTAAAAATCCCTTGGTGGACTAAAATCGATAACAGTAGGCTTCGGCAGCCACAAGGGCAAATTCAAAATTTCCTACAAACTGAAAACGTTTAGTGTGTCCGGCGCGCTCATATGCCCATTATGCAGTTGTGAGCGCCGTAAAACATATTATTTTTGGAAACAAGCCTCGAGGGAGTGTGTGTGTGTGGGGGGGGGGGGTATCCCTTCAAAGTATTTGGAGCCCTGAAGAGTGGGTTCTTCGCCACCGCCGGACCTCCGTGGCAGGGCATCTCTGCAGCCAGTGCTCCAAATCTTGGGGCCCCTCGCTGCAAAATGGACTGATTAGGTCCAATGTTTCGTCTACTCTATTTTTGTAAGCCCGCAGCTCAGAGAGGTGACCGGTCCTGATTTTTGCCAGTAGTGACTGGTTGTAGATATTGTTGTGATTGTATTGATTCTTGTGCGAGGTCGAGCAAGAAATATATTTCTGTGAGGACGTCTATTTGGGCAGGGTGGTGGGTGTTTTATTATGTCTGTATATATGTGTGTGTGTGTGTGTGTGTGTGTGTGTGTGTGTGTGTGTGTGTGTGTGT